CCAACAAAAGAAGACCTGGACCAAAAAAAAATAGGGTCCCAGTTCAGCTAATCTAAATTAGTCAAAACGTGCTAATTTTAAAAAATAGAGTCCCAGTTCAGCTAAATCTAAATTAGTAAAAAAAAATCCACAACTTGAATACGTATGCAGCCGTAATTAGTTATTAGCAAGGAGTGCTGCTGAATCTTCAGCAGCCAGGTCCCGTTGATAAGAATAAGAGCATCTCACAAGCCAGTCGGCAAATTCCAACCACTTTAAAGCAAACAAAACGAATATTCTTACTAGAAAGCAAAACCAAAGCCACCACTTTGGATGATAAAAACATATTCCCATCAAATTAAATGACACAAGAACGAAAAAGTACATGAACAAATTCAAAAGCAGTCTCCACTACAGACACCGCAAAAAATCAAAGGGTACAAGACTAGTGATCTCAGCAAGGAGCTCAGTAACCCATTATAGCAGAAGGAATTCCTGTAAAATTGTAATTCACAGTCGCGTTACAAGCCACATGAAGACGGCGGACCAGAATGTAAGCGACAGTGAAGCAAGGGCATAAGTCCACAACATGATAACTGAACATTCATTCTCTCCTGCTCCAAATAATTGCGTCATTGTTCCTGCCATATTTTAAGGGATCAATAAACAATACTAGAGAATAAACTTACATTTGTTACGGAATAGAGTGAGCGAGCAACTTCTGATTGCACTTTTTTGTTGCTAAACAACAGGAGCAAGCGTACCTATGTTCATCGCAGGTGGGAGTGAAAACTGAAGCAGAAGAACAAACAGATATAATGGATCAGAAAGCACCAACCCAAATTTCAGTGCCCCTTTAATAACCAATATGCCTATAAGAGGCAGGGCAACATAACGAACAACTATGATGCCAACGACAAGAGATTTCTGAATCCCTGACCCTCTCAAACCTGAAACAACAATGTGAAGTAAGTTCTAAACTAAACCAACAATTAAGTACATCACTAACAGAATTTGTATGGGTTATTACCCTTAAGTAGGTTTCCTCCTATTATCAAAGTGAGAGCTGGGATGGCTCCGTCCCTGCAATCATAAAGAATAAGTCTCTTTAACTGATGCTGAGTGAACAACAAAAAATGACACAAACACTCGGGATAAATAACATGCTCGTCTTTTGAGCCGAAATTCAAAAACCATCTGGTCTGAACATGTTCTGTAAAGTCGGGATTAACACCAGACAAGTATTCTACTTTTATGTTAATTGAGAACCAAATTATTCATTCGGAATAACGGGCAGCTAGATTAGTTGCCAATAAGTGCATAGATCGTGGATAAATTATTAAGGTTTGATACAGTTCGGGCATAAGTTCTATACCCCAACAAATAAGCAGTATCTTGAATCACCCGTAGAGGAGCACCATCCCCTATCAGTAAATTTCTAATCTGAGGGATGACTCCGATTGCAAAACCAACCACCTACACCAGGAAAAGGTTAAGTTAGCCCAATTTTTCAATAAAATTGCGCTGAATCTGGATCGCAATGATATAAAAGTGCCAAAAGGACATACCGCTCCAGTAGTTGAAGGGGCAAATATTGCTTTCAGATTGATCTTTTTAAACACCATCCCTATATGTTTCTTTAGTTTACTTGAAGTCGTCGCCTGCCAGGAAAAACAAGATATGCAGTGTAAGAAATTGAAAGGAAACAAGGGTAACTTTCTCTTGTTAGAGATGTCCAGCATGTTACATTGTGAGATTGCGAATCTGGATCGTACATTCAAATGGCATTCATTTGATTAGTAGTCTGGATAGACAGTTTGACAATATGTATTTCGGAAAAAAACTGACATTTTCTCTATAAACAAATCTTAATACAGTTGGAAATACGTAAACAACGCATCAAATTGAATGAATATCAATGTAGTTTAATGGAGTTAGCAACCTTTGCTTCTTCTTCTGGCACAGCAGTGTATGGCAGTGCATATTGATCCCGATTTTCACCAGCTGTGACACTTTCCTTTGAAGAAAGCAGAGGCTCAGTGCAACTTGCTTGGTCGGATGTGGAGGACTTCTCGGCGGACTGATTAGAATCTTGGGTGCCCCTTATTGAAGATATCCTCACAATATTATATACATAGGACCACAAATAAACGGCTCCTATCTGAAGCATGAACACAATTGCATTACAAAAAGCAAAGAGATAGGAATCCCTGACAGCTGAACAAGGTAGCTACATTGTACCGAAGAGAAACAGTCACTAGAATTCAAGAGGAAAATTGAAGGACAAAAGAAAAGTGTTGAGAAAAACGTATTCTAGACATGAGATGAAACTTATGATGATATCAACAATCAGTAACTGCGCCTTTTCACCTTGAATGAGAGAATTGGATTGCAACTTGTTTGAAGCAGCTTCCTAATCCATTCTTAACTCGAATCGTAGAAAGATAAAGGAAGTTCAAGAAAACCCAAAATATTGGAACAAGACAAAGGGGGAATATGTACCGCCATTGAGAGCGAAGCATAAGCCATAGCATATGTGTGACAGACATCAGGAGCTCCAAACGGGCTCCCTTTTTCTTTACAGACTGCTGGGACTATAATGAGGAGCAAGTTACCCAAATTTCCTGTTAAGTGTTAACATCAGCATCTCTAAAGATTGATAAAACGCGAAACTGAGTATTTATCAGCTTTGATTTAGAATTAGAAATGAGATTAAATTCAAATTTATTTTTGACTGTGAGGGTAGAGCGTTGAATTACCTGCAGCACAGCAACCCAAGACAAGGCCTCGCAGACGGGCAGGAGGCCTTGTTAATTGGAGGAGAATCCATCCGAGCACGGAACCAATTATAAATGTGATGAGGATATTCACTGGCATGAACCACCTATCCAAATAAAAATTCTTAAAACGCTAACATGATTATATATATATATATATATATATATATTGATCAAACAAAGTAATTATAACTCACAATTTAACCATGCTTTGGTATGTAATTGTCCGCGCAAGGTTGGAACCCACGAGAGCAGGATTGAACACATAAAATACAACCTGTTCGTTCGTTGGTTCACAAAACACAAATACTAGTAAGAAAACAGTACAACACAAAGAGAAATTTAATTAAATGGAGAGGGATTAGAGAACAAGAGATTGAATGAAGAAGCAATCTAGTGTTATTAACTTACAGTGTTTACGTTCTTTCTAGTAACTTCCCCCAAAACATCGACACGATCAAGAGCAAGACATGAGCCAAGTGCTGTTATCAAAAGCACTTTCAACACCGGAATTGAGGCCGTCACAAACAGCTGCAGAAGCTCCATCCTCTTCTTTTATCTATTATTCTAAATTATTATTAGCTCGTCTTCACCTCCTCCTCTGCCTCTGCTATGTAATGCCAAACAGAAAACAGAAAAACAAACATGCAATCAAAATGCCAGTTTTGCGACAGCAATTCAACAACACACACATATGATAACAACAAGAGAGCATTACAGAAAAATGGGGAGGTTTTAAAGATGTGGGATCAAACCTCCGAATTCTTATTAAATAGTTATAATACGGCACATGCCAAACGAGGCCTAATAAGCTGCTATAGCTAAAGCTCAGAATGAATTGCTTTCGTTTTGCTTTCATGAAAACAATGGAAAACAACAAAAACAATCAATCAAGCAAGCACGTATATATATATGATAGATTTAATAATTTATTAGGAGGACCGGAAGAAGGAAAACAATAAGGGCATATGCAATTATATGAATGAATATGCATGCAGCAATTAAATGTGTAGTCGCCCGTCTGGGCTGGGTTGACCCTGTGCCGATGGGAGTAGGGATGGGTAAAATACACATAGGTTAGGATAACCGTTGTTAACCGTCCATTTAAAATTTACGATTACGGGTATGGATAACCGTTTAGACAAACAAATAGTTATGGATATAACCGCTTATTCGTGAAATTTAAATGGAGATTATGGGTATTATCCGCAGTTATAACGGTATCCATCGGTTATGGATATTACCTACAGTTATAACGGATATCCATTTACTCATTTAATTTAATATATGTAAAATTTTGAAGTTTTGAATTTTCCGTGGTTATAACAGGTATCTATTTACAAAAGAATTGGTGCGCACATGATTATTGTTGTTTGGACTAATGAAACGAAATGGTTTTCTTAAATCATGTTTTAAATCATGTTTCAGTTGCCATTGATGCTATTAGGAACGGTGGAATGAAATGGTCATTGTGTGTTAACGAATCCATGTTTCAGCTTTTGAAAATGCTTATAAGGGAGTACTGACCAATCTTTCAAAGGTTGGAGGTGGCGGTTATAACGGGTATCTATTAAAATATTTTGGAGCTTTGAATCATCTAGTATTCAAATTAATGACTACTTTTTATTTTTAAAAGCTTTACTTTGTAATCATATAGATTATAATCAAATACTTGTTGGGTGTAGCAGAAAAATATCGTTCGTAAACTATTATTTCAATTATTGAAATTGTATGAGGACTTAAATTATTAAAATAAGGAAATGCATGCTAAAATGTACCTATAATGGTGTTTAATTGTCAAACAACGAAAATTATGACAAAATTTTCTTTTGTAATTTTCAAGTTGTTAAAAAAATTATATTGATGGATGAAAAAAAGGGATAAATGCGTATAAAAATAAATAAATAAATAAATAAACGGATAAATGGTTATGGTTAAATGGGTAAACAATTATAGCTATGGTTAACCGTTTATAAACCATTAAGGGTATGAGTATAACCGTTTATGCAATTACCTAATGGGTAACCAGTTATGCAGGTATGAATATAAACGATTATGGGTAAATAATTGCGATTAACCGCCCACCCCCATCCTATGAATAAATAACTGCGATTACCTGCCCGTCCCCATCCTTAGATGGGATCATGGGATGGCGCTCAAATGAAAAGGTTTAATTTAAGGAAGTTTTAATGAAAAGTTCGATGTACTGTTCACTTAAATGAAAAATCATATTTTTACACTAAAAAATCAAACCGGATACTATTTATTTTATTCTTATCGTTAAAACTCAAAGTATTCAAACATTTTTCGTTAGCTTCCTTTTAATTTAATCAACACACGTCTCGTCTTTTTCATGTCATGTACCCTCCCAAAGGAGAGTCAGAAAACCAGAGTTCGTTGCAACCACATGTTCGCAATTAATTCTCAGAAAATATGTGGCTAAATATATTCATTTATTCTTCATCTTCAATATCACATTTAAGATAGAATGATCACGTTCTTTAATGAATAACCCAAATAATGGTCTGTTTGCAAAATATGGTTCTCGACCATAGTGATGAGAAAGAATGTCGTCTTTACATCACAACGTAGATTCAAATTTCGTCGATTCTCTAATCTAACAAATTTATCGTTTAACCAAAAAAAAAAAAAAAAAACCAATGGTCTGTTTGACCCTCATGAAAACATTACTTGTTTGTATCCGATTTTGCGCCATCTATTTGAACAATCAAAATCGTTAAGTGAGCAGAATTTTAAATCATCGAATGAAAAGTTATTAAGATAATTTTACTTAGAGAAATAATACTATGATTTAATCATAATAATTATCTTTTAATAAATTATTGTGACAATTTCTTATACGAGATAAGAAAGCAGTGCAATTCCAAGGTGATTCTGGATGTTTGGATTTAGGCGTATGGGTTAGTTGCAATGGAAAGGTTTTAGTAACCAAAAGATATTGATTAGCATTTGGAAATGATTAGCAGCACGCCGCATGCGCTATAATCATTATCATTTTGGTCAATATTGTTTGTTTGCTCAAGGTCACTTCGAAGCTGCTGATGGGATTGGATTTTGGATTGTTACTGTCCACTTTATGGGGAATCCGGAATGCGAATCTTCAACCAATTGTACTCTCATTTTATTCTTAAAATTACAACACTACCCTTCGCATTACCAGAGCAAATCCATCCTCTGCCCAGCGCCCTTGTCCAGTGCCACTCCTTCCCCGATGACCGCAACCACCCCACTTGCCATGAGATGCTTTGAACTTGATACAGATAATCTTGAAATCATAATGCAATGGATTAGAGAGAGAGAGAGAGAGTTTCGGTGGAGATGAGAAGTGGGTTTCGATGAACAGAAAGCTGAGAATTTTTTTTTTTTTTTTTTTGACGAAAGAGAAAAAGATAATATTTGGTTAGGGTTTCTTTTATTAATTAGTATTTTCTCTCTTTTAATAAATAATTTTTTATTAATTAGTATACAAATAGTAATTTAATTTGTTATATACTAGTATATGGACACAAACAAAGTGTGTGTGAATTTTTTTTTATTTTTGTTTTTGAAATAGAATGAGAGAGGAAGAGAGTGATAGAAAATGTGGGAGTGTGAAGTTTATTTATTTATTTTAATTAGAGATATGTTAGGATTACATATAGGTGATGCTTTAAAGAAAAAAAAAAAGCAAATTTTGCTTGTGTGAAATTACATTTTTGCTTATATTTCTTATTCATATTCTGTTTTAGTTAATGGGTTAAACTGGTAATTTTATAGAATTTTGATTGACAATGAATGTTATATTAATTAGTAATCATATTGAATTACATTTCAATTTCAATAAATTAGTAAACAATTTATATGAAATTAATATTATTTTTATTTAGATTTTAGAAAACTTTAGTAAACAGCTACTACAAGAATCCAAGTTCAACTCCTCTCTATTCCAACTCTTCATTAATTTAATTTTTTTTATTATTTTGATTACGAATTAGTAATCGGAAATGAATCATCTCCAGATCGTTTCTGTCACATCCCGACCTGGGGCAGATCACTTCCCGGGCCCGACTCCACTACCGTAGCACGATATTGTCAGCTTTGGGCTTACCATTCCCTCACGGTTTTGTTTTTGGGAACTCACGAGCAACTTCCCAGTGGATCACCCATCCTGGGATTGCTCTAACCCCCTTCTCGCTTAACTTCGGAGTTCCTACGGAACCCGAAGCCAGTGAGCTCCCAAAAGGCCTCGTGCTAGGTAAGGATGGGAATATACATTTAAGGATCACTCCCCTGGGCGATGTGGGATGTTACAATCCACCCCCCTTAGGGGCCCAACATCCTCGTCGGCACACACGCGACCAGGGTTAGGCTCTGATACCAATTTGTCACATCCCGCCCTGGGTGGGACCACTTCCCGGGCCCGCTCCACCACCATAGCACGATATTGTCCGCTTTGGGCTTACCATTCCCTCACAGTTTTGTTTTTGGGAACTCACGAGCAACTTCCCAGTGGGTCACTCATCATGGGATTGCTTTAGCCTCCTTCTCGCTTAACTTCGGAGTTCCTACAAAACCCGAAGCCAGTGAGCTCCCAAAAGGCCTCGTGCTAAGTAGGGATGAGAATATACATTTAAGGATCGCTCCCCTGAGTGATGTGGGATATCACAATCCACCCCCCTTGGGGGCCCGACGTCCTTGTCAGCACACACGCGACCAGGGTTAGGCTCTGATACCAATAGTTACATCTCGGTCCAGGGCGGATCACTTCCCGGGCCTAACTCCACCACCTTAGCACGATATTGTCCGCTTTGGGCTTACCATTCCCTCACGGTTTTGTTTTTGGGAACTCACGAGCAACTTCCCAGTGGGTCACCCATCATGGGATTACTCTAGCCTCCTTCTCGCTTAACTTCGGAGTTCCTACAGAACCTGAAGCCAGTGAGCTCCCAAAAGACCTCATGCTAGGTAAAGATGAGAATATACATTTAAAGATCACTCCCCTGAGCGATGTGGAATGTCAAAGTTTCCACCTAATACTCCTCATCAAACAATCCGGACCCTTGAAATTTGATCAAATGATTAAAATTATTGTAAGTTTTAGAGTGAGCTCGTATTTTCAGCCGTTTGATCAAATTTTAAAAATTCGAATTATTTAACAAGGAGGATTAGATAGAAATGATCTGGAGACGATCGTTTTCCTTAGTAATCGAGTCCTAAAAGTTGGTGACAATCATGACGGGTAAGTGTTGTCATGCATGTGGTTTGGAATTGAACAGGATGGTTTGATGAGATACATGCATGTGATGGAATGTTTGTGATCATGATGAGATAAGAAGCCCAGGTGGGCTAGGCTTTTGGTGGCGATGCAATAAGCCTGGATAGGCTTTTATTCTGTCTAAAAAGGCAGCATATACTTGTCTCAGTTTTTATTTCCCAAGTAGATAATTGAGGATATTTTTAGTTTGAATTAACAGAAAGTCGTAGAATCAAGCAATGGAGTAGCATTTTTTATTTGCATTTTTAATTTGAATTAACAACACTGCTTTAAAATCGACTGGTTAGTATTTGGTTTTTTTTATTAAAAGATGTCATCTCATTTGTGTGACAGCCCGTTCCGGAATTTTCAAACCGTAAGTGTGAAATGACGATTTTGCCCCTAGTGTGAATTTTTGTTGTGTGGTTGTTTTTGAGCTTGGTTTGGCTGGTTGTGGACCACACACATTTCCCCACACACACCCTCACCCTTCCCTGCCCTGCACCCTTGTCCCGAGCCATTTCTCTTTCTTATTTCCATTCCCATTTGTACGGACATACCCCAAAACCCTCCAAATCTTCACAGATCGAAGAAACAAAGTACATATTCTTGCTCATGAGGTCCGTAGAAGTTCAACCATACCTATTTCAGGTAAGGATATCTTCGTTTTCACGTCGAACTCGGGATACCCCGATTTTGTCACTGTTCATACACACGTTAATTCTAGTGTTTTTTGGAATTTCA